TTTTTATTGTATTTTAATTAATATTTATTTTTTGTTTTTACTGTAAACCACCCAGAGTCACATCCTAATGAGATGGGTGGTGACCAAATTTGAAATATAAATAAATATTATTTCAAGTCTAATTTGGGCAGCCACTCAGAAGTTGGAAGATTATTCAAGCCCATACCAAATAAGAGAAAGTTTTGTAGGAGTACAATACTGTGGCGTTAGGCTTCCTGTTCAACTTTATGGAAATTCCCTTATGTCCCAGAGGGGAAAAAATGTGATTGAGTATGGGGGGGGGGGGGAAGCAAATTTTTCGGTAGAGTTCTCTCTTGAGCAGCCAGGGAGGATTTTTGCTTCCTTATCTGCTCTGGAATTGTTTTATGGGCTTCATGTGTATATCTTCTCCTTTTCTAGCCTTTGGGCAATGTCAAGGATAAGATCACCTCCCCATCACTCCCTATAGTACAGGGAAGAAGATGATGCAGTGAGGTCACAATAAACCTTAAACTTTGCAGTAGTTTGTTTTATAGCCAAAACCTTGAAAACGGGGGGGGGGAGTCTAAAACCAGTATATTTGCTGCTGAATCTAGGAGTGTTCTGGAGGCTCCAAAAATGGAACTGAGGGGCTGTTTATAACCCATGGGTGTTACCCAGGTTTGCAAAATAACATGTATTTTAAGATAGTTTCAAAGTACCATCAGTAACCATACAATGCTAGTTTAAGATGCTATTATTATCATCTGCCTCTATGGAGTTCTGCTGAATTGGTCTTATGATTAAGCAGTCTGCCTTAAAAAGGGGGGGGGCAAACTATGGGGTAAAATTATAAGGTATCAGATGACCAATTAATTATATTATTTTAATAATATAATTATTATAGGGGTATCATTAGGATTTTCTGGATTTAGAAGCACATGGGCTACTCCATAATTTAAGGTTGTCTTGCAATTACCTCAGGATAAATGCTGGGGGTACTTTTTTATACAATAATAATATCATTTGGTATGAAGGTTACAGTAATTTGTAATCAGATTACAGCTGAATGAAGGAATCTTTTATCTGATTTTTGAGCAATAGCTGCTGGGCATCAGGAAAGTTTTGTTCTGAGTGAGAAAAAAGAGCTGCAGGTCATCTAATTTGCACACGATACCTGTGTTTATTGTAATACATGTAGTCTCCTTTGAGATTACCTACCAATTGAATCACTTAAACAGAGAACTTTTTGTAATAGGGTCATAGGTGAAATACCTGCAACTTTGAATGACCCTTGTTATTCAGAATGCCCTTGTTTCTTAATGTACCTGAATATTAAACTGGTATTTAGTGTTTAGGATATTATATCCTTTATTCTCCTCATTTTAGGTCTTTCAGAAGACATGTCCTGCTTGTCAGAAAAGTCACTGCCAGTAGCTTCAAAACAGACTCTTAATTTTGTGTGATAAGTCTTGATAGCATATCAGAGATGTAGAGAGTCAGAAATCAACATCATTTTTTATGTTGACTCTAATTTGGCTTTTGCAGTATGACCTGATATGCTAAATCATTTCCTCGTTCATGGTATATCAGGCTTGTAGTGTGGAAGAGATAACTTCAGAAACATCTTGAAAGGTTCCTTCATCATTTTCCTCAGTCTGACATTCTGCAGATATTTTGAATCTCACTCCCAGGATTTATTTTATGCCTGAATTTCTCCACTCCAAAACAGTAACTTGCATACTGGATAATGGAACTCAACAGTTACTTTATTTAGTGTTTGTTGTTCTAAATATGCATGCTTATAGCTTTGTATGTATGTTGATAGTTTCAGGATACTACCTTCATGTTTCTAATATGCTAATGTCATATTTGAACCTGTCTTTTACATCAAAGCTTGTTTTGTTCCATAGGATAATTCCTCTGCTAGACCATTCTTCATCACAGACCTTTCCAAGGAACCTGTCCAGCTCTGACAGTTCAGATGCCACTAGAACATACTCCCAGAGAGTAAGTCGCTATGATCTGGATGAAATTGATGCTTGCTGGTTGGAACTTTTCAACATGGAGCTCAAAGAAATGGGTAGGTGTGTGTGTGTGTGTGCGCGCATGTGTGCGTGCATTTTAATTTCTAATTTAAATTTTATCTCTTTTATCCAAACCAAACTCTCATCGCATACATTTTTTTCTTGGCTGATGCTATATAACTTAAGGTTATACATAGAAGAAACTTTAATGAACTAATAGTTGGAAGTCAGGCGGCATACAAATTTACTTAATCGTCATCATTCAAGAAATAATGTGAGGGTATAACTGAGAGGGTGAAGGATGAATAAATAGGAGTCAGTCTTTTCAGTGTGGAGGGCCCTACTTGGGCAGCTTAGTTATTCACACAATGGTTGGTATATGAAACATAACCAGTTACAAAGCACCAATTTACTGGAATGCAATCTTCTACCTTCTCTGGCCTTTACTCTTTGTGACAGAATGTCTAACAGGCCCTGGGAATACAGAGGAGGGAGCATGACTGTTACAAAAGGGAGCAGGGCTGTTCCAGAAATGATTTCTTAGTTTAGGGAGGAGGAAACATGAGAAAGAGACTCAGAATAACTCTGGGTTAGTTATACTAGGTATAAATTGAGCTGGAAAATTGCTTTCACAGGCTGTCACGATTGTGTAACATTACCCTACTAACAATAAAGATCTTTCTAGAAATGCAAATGGTTCTTGTTCCCTGAGTTTGCCTGCCATGCAGGGCTTAATGCTTTTGGAGGGTCCTCCCTATTTATTATCTCAGCTTTTTTTTTTTTCCTGAACAGGTGGGCACTGAGCTCCTGCATTCTCTAGTTTCTATTTTCTAATCATCCTTATGGAGCCCACTTAGGAGAGGGCAAGGGAGTCCTGTTGGTAGCTAGCGTTTTCCACGGCACAAGTGCCAATTACATTAACCATCTACAATCTCAGTAGCAGGCCTGAGAAGGACAAACCAGAGTATCCGGTAAGGGGCGAGAAAGGTAGGGGTAAAAGTGTTGGATTTAAACTGCAGTGGATATCAGAAGGGACTGCACTCTCATGTGGGTAGAGGGCAGTTAGCTGCATTAAGTGGCTCCATTCTGGTATGCAATCGAGCTTCTTATCTAATCATGCCGTGGTGAGTGTCTGGATAGCTTCTGCCAAGTTTGAACTGGGGAACCTAACAAAAGGCATTTTGGGAAAAGAAGACAGTTTTGGAGGGCAGTACTTTGTTTAGAAAGTGTGAAAAACAAGTCCTGTGGGACAGAAAGACTGACTAGCACGATAAGTAGTGTCTTTGGGCACATTGATACCACTGGAGATATTGCAGTTAAGTCATATTTTTCATATTTTTCCATTCTGTGGTAAAATTTTATTTTATTTTGTTTTATTTCATTTTATTTAACTTTATTTTTTTTTATTTATTTGTATGGCCGCCCATCTTAAAACAACTGTGGGCGGCTCACAACAATAAAACTATAAAACCCATAAAAACTTATAAAAAACTAAAAACCCGGCGCCTCAATCAACCTTCCAGATGCCCCAACAGCTCTGCGCAGTGTCTGGGTAAGGGCCAAGTTTTAATGGCCTTCCTGAAGGCTAAGTGGGTGGGGGCCTGCCAGATTGTTGGTGGGAGGGTGTTTCATGGGGGGGGCAACCACTGAAAAGGCACATTTCCGAGGTCCCATGAAATGGCAGCATTTCAGGGAAGGGACCTGGAGCATGCTTATCCTATAAGTTCTGGTGAGGCGGGCAGATACTCTCAGGGAGACGCTGTCCCAGAAATATTGTATTGTGATTATTATGTTATTATAGTATTCTTCTTACCTACCTGGGAATTTTCCTGGAAATAGTATAAACAAAACAAAGGTTGAATTAAATTGAATAAAAATAGGTAAATAACAATGATGTGAGGGTTGCAGGGGAAATTAAAGGTGTCTGATAGGGCCAGGTCAAGGTAAGGAAACTCCAGTCCAGGTAGGATTGTAAGTTCTAGGCAGTATGTTGATGAAGATTCTCAGTCATCCAGGTGG